CGAAATCCCTGTTTTTCCCCGAAAATATCGCTTATTTTCATAGAAATCCCTGTTTTTCCCCTAAAATATCGCTTATTTTCATCGAAATCCCTGTTTTTCACCTGAAATATCGCTTATTTTCCTAGAAATCCCTGTTTTTCCCCTTAAATATCACTTATTTTCATAGAAATCCCTGTTTTTAACCTGAAATATCGCTTATTTTCATAGAAATCCCTGTTTTTCCCCGAAAATATCGCTTATTTTCATAGAAATCCCTGTTTTTAACCCTAAAATATCGCTTATTTTCATAGAAATCCCAGTTTTTAACCTGAAATATCGCTTATTTCCATAGAAATCCCTGTTTTTAACCACTAAATATCGCTTATTTTCATAGAAATCCCTGTTTTTCCCCGAAAATATCGCTTATTTTCATAGAAATCCCTGTTTTTCCCCTGAAATATCGTTTATTTTCATAGAAATCCCTGTTTTTCACCTGAAATATCGCTTATTTTCATAGAAATCCCTGTTATTCCCCATAAATATCGCTTGTTTTCATAGAAATCCCTGTTTTTCCCCTGAAATATCGCTTATCTTCCTAGAAATCCCTGTTTTTAACCTGAAATATCGCTTATTTTCATAGAAATCCCTGTTTTTCCCCGAAAATATCACTTATTTTCATAGAAATCCCTGTTTTTCACCTTAAATATCGCTTATTTTCCTAGAAATCCCTGTTTTTCCCCTTAAATATCGCTTATTTTCATAGAAATCCCTGTTTTTCCCCTTAAATATCGCTTATTTTCATAGAAATCCCTGTTTTTAACCACTAAATATCGCTTATTTTCATAGAAATCCCTGTTTTTCCCCTTAAATATCGCTTATTTTCCTAGAAATCCCGTTTATTCCCCTGAAATATCGCTTATTTTCATAGAAATCCCTGTTTTTAATCCTTAAATATCGCTTATTTTCCTAGAAATCCCTGTTATTCCCCTGAAATATCGCTTATTTTCATAGAAATCCCTGTTTTTCCCCTGAAATATCGCTTTTCATAGAAATCCCTGTTTTTCCCCTGAAATATCGCTTATTTTCATAGAAATCCCTGTTTTTCCCCGAAAATATCACTTATTTTCATAGAAATCCCTGTTTTTAAACTGAAATATCGCTTATTTTCATAGAAATCCCTGTTTTTCATCTGAAATATCGCTTATTTTCATCGAAATCGCTGTTTTTCACCTGAAATATCGCTTATATTCCTAGAAATCCCTGTTTTTAAACTGAAATATCGCTTATTTTCATAGAAATCCCTGTTTTTCCCCTTAAATATCGCATATTTTCATCGAAATCCCTGTTTTTAACCTGAAATATCGCTTATTTTCACAAAAATGCCTGTTTTTCCCCTTTAATATCGCTTATTTTCATAGAAATCCCTGTTTTTCACATGAAATATCGCTTATTTTCCTAGAAATCCCTGTTTTTCCCCTAAAATATCGCTTATTTTCATCGAAATCCCTGTTTTTAACCTGAAATATCGCTTATTTTCATAGAAATCCCTGTTTTTAACCACTAAATATCGCTTATTTTCATAGAAATCCCTGTTTTTCCCCATAATTATTACTTATTTTCACAAAAATCCCTGTTTTTCCCCTGAAATATCGTTTATTTTCATAGAAATCCCTGTTTTTCACCTGAAATATCGCTTATTTTCATAGAAATCCCTGTTTTTCCCTTTAAATATCGCTTGTTTTCATAGAAATCCCTGTTTTTAACCTGAAATATCGCTTATTTTCATAGAAATCCCTGCTTTTATCCTGAAATATCGCTTATTTTCATAGAAATCCCTGTTTTTCCCCGAAAATATCACTTATTTTCATAGAAATCCCTGTTTTTCACCTGAAATATCGCTTATTTTCCTAGAAATCCCTGTTTTTCACCTGAAATATCGCTTATTTTCATAGAAATCCCTGTTTTTCCCCTGAAATATCGCTCATTTTCCTAGAAATCCCTGTTTTTCCCCTTAAATATCGCTTATTTTCATAGAAATCCCTGTTTTTCCCCTGAAATATCGCTTATTTTCCTAGAAATCCCTGTTATTCCCCTGAAATATCGCTTATTTTCATAGAAATCCCTGTTTTTCCCCTGAAATATCGCTTATTTTCATAGAAATCCCTGTTTTTCCCCGAAAATATCACTTATTTTCCTAGAAATCCCTGTTTTTAAACTGAAATATCGCTTATTTTCATAGAAATCCCTGTTTTTCCCCTTAAATATCGCATATTTTCATCGAAATCCCTGTTTTTAACCTGAAATATCGCTTATTTTCACAAAAATCCCTGTTTTTCCCCATAAATATCGCTTATTTTCATAGAAATCCCTGTTTTTCACATGAAATATCACTTATTTTCATAGAAATCCCTGTTTTTCCCCTGAAATATCGCTTATTTTCCTAGAAATCCCGGTTTTTAACACATAAATATCACTTATTTTCATCGAAATCCCTGTTTTTCCCCTAAAATATCGCTTATTTTCATCGAAATCCCTGTTTTTCACCTGAAATATCGCTTATTTTCATAGAAATCCCTGTTTTTCCCCTTAAATATCGCTTATTTTCAGAGAAATCCCTGTTTTTAACCTGGAATATCGCTTATTTTCATAGAAATCCCTGTTTTTCCCCTAAAATATCGCTTATTTTCAGAGAAATCCCTGTTTTTAACCTGAAATATCGCTTGTTTTCATTGAAATCCCTGTTTTTCCCCTTAAATATCGCTTATTTTCATAGAAATCCCTGTTTTTCCCCTTAAATATCGCTTTTCATAGAAATCCCTGTTTTTCCCCTGAAATATCGCTTATTTTCATCGAAATCCCTGTTTTTAATCTGAAGTATCGCTTATTTTCACGGAAATCCCTGTTTTTAACCTTAAATATTGATTATTTTCATCGAAATCCCTGTTTTTCCCCTGAAATATCGCTTATTTTCCTAGAAATCCCTGTTTTTCACCTGAAATATCGCTTATTTTCATAGAAATCCCTGTTTTTAACCTGAAATATCGCTTATTTTCATCGAAATCCCTGTTTTTCCCCGAAAATATCGCTTATTTTCATAGAAATCCCTGTTTTTCCCCTAAAATATCGCTTATTTTCATCGAAATCCCTGTTTTTCACCTGAAATATCGCTTATTTTCATAGAAATCCCTGTTTTTCCCCTTAAATATCACTGATTTTCATCGAAATCCCTGTTTTTAACCTGAAATATCGCTTATTTTCATAGAAATCCCTGTTTTTCCCCTTAAATATCACTGATTTTCATCGAAATCCCTGTTTTTCACCTGAAATATCGCTTATTTTCATAGAAATCCCTGTTTTTCCCCTTAAATATCACTGATTTTCATAGAAATCCCTGTTTTTCACCTGAAATATCGCTTATTTTCCTAGAAATCCCTGTTTTTAACCTTAAATATCGCTTATTTTCATGGAAATCCCTGCTTTTAACCTGAAATATCGCCTATTTTCATAGAAATCCCTGTTTTTCCCCGAAAATATCGCTTATTTTCATAGAAATCCCTGTTTTTAATCCTTAAATATCGCTTATTTTCATAGAAATCCCAGTTTGTAACCTGAAGTATCGCTTATTTCCATAGAAATCCCTGTTTTTAACCACTAAATATCGCTTATTTTCATAGAAATCCCTTTTTTTCCCCATAATTATTACTTATTTTCACAAAAATCCCTGTTTTTCCCCTGAAATATCGTTTATTTTCATAGAAATCCCTGTTTTTCACCTGAAATATCGCTTATTTTCATAGAAATCCCTGTTTATCCCCTAAAATATCGCTTGTTTTCATAGAAATCCCTGTTTTCAACCTGAAATATCGCTTATTTTCATAGAAATCCCTGTTTTTCCCCTGAAATATCGCTTATTTTCATAGAAATCCCTGTTTTTCCCCTTAAATATCGCTTATTTTCATAGAAATCCCTGTTTTTCACCTGAAATATCGCTTATTTTCCTAGAAATCCCTGTTTTTCCCCTTAAATATCGCTTATTTTCCTAGAAATCCCTGTTTTTCCCCTTAAATATCGCTTATTTTCATAGAAATCCCTGTTTTTCCCCTTAAATATCGCTTATTTTCATCGAAATCCCTGTTTTTAACCACTAAATATCGCTTATTTTCATAGAAATCCCTGTTTTTCCCCTTAAATATCGCTTATTTTCCTAGAAATCCCTGTTATTCCCCTGAAATATCGCTTATTTTCATAGAAATCCCTGTTTTTAATTCTTAAATATCGCTTATTTTCCTAGAAATCCCTGTTATTCCCCTGAAATATCGCTTATTTTCATAGAAATCCCTGTTTTTCCCCTTAAATATCACTGATTTTCATCGAAATCCCTGTTTTTCCCATGAAATATCGCTTATTTTCATAGAAATCCCTGTTTTTCCCCGAAAATATCACTTATTTTCATAGAAATCCCTGTTTTTAAACTGAAATATCGCTTATTTTCATAGAAATCCCTGTTTTTCACCTAAAATATCGCTTATTTTCATAGAAATCGCTGTTTTTCACCTGAAATATCGCTTATATTCCTAGAAATCCCTGTTTTTAAACTGAAATATCGCTTATTTTCATAGAAATCCCTGTTTTTCCCCTTAAATATCGCATATTTTCATCGAAATCCCTGTTTTTAACCTGAAATATCGCTTATTTTCACAAAAATCCCTGTTTTTCCCCATAAATATCGCTTATTTTCATAGAAATCCCTGTTTTTCACATGAAATATCACTTATTTTCCTAGAAATCCCTGTTTTTCCCCTGAAATATCGCTTATTTTCATAGAAATCCCGGTTTTTAACACATAAATATCACTTATTTTCATCGAAATTCCTGTTTTTCCCCTAAAATATCGCTTATTTTCATCGAAATCCCTGTTTTTCACCTGAAATATCGCTTATTTTCCTAGAAATCCCTGTTTATCCCCTTAAATATCACTTATTTACATCGAAATCCCTGTTTTTCCCCTTAAATATCGCTTATTTTCATAGAAATCCCTGTTTTTAACCTGAAATATCGTTTATTTCCATAGAAATCCCTGTTTTTAACCACTAAATATCGCTTATTTTCATAGAAATCCCTGTTTTTCACCTGAAATATCGCTTATTTTCATAGAAATCCCTGTTTTTCCCCTTAAATATCGCTTATTTTCATCGAAATCCCTGTTTTTAACCTGGAATATCGCTTATTTTCATAGAAATCCCTGTTTTTCCCCTGAAATATCGCTTATTTTCAGAGAAATCCCTGTTTTTAACCTGAAATATCGCTTGTTTTCATTGAAATCCCTGT